TAATTTAAACTAAAAAGACCGTCCGAGTTAAGAAAAAAAGTTAGAGACTAAATATATTAATTACCCTAAACCACAGAGATGGTGTTTTTTAAACAGAACATGCACTTTGTTGGTATTTTTGAACATGCATTTTAGTTTGATGATGTTTTTTTAAACATGTAATACCTGAATAGTTTTTTTAACGAATTTGAAACGTCGATGAAACCGTAGTGCCACGTAGGTGATACATCAGCAATTACCACAAAGTAAGGTTTCATGTCACATCCAAAAAGTGATGCCACATTTAATTTTTCTTTTTGAATAATTAAAATTTTTATTTTTAATCGAAAACAAAATATGTCATTAATTAAAAAAACTCATTACATTATGTCAATTAAAAAAAACATTACATTTAAAAAAACCTAGAAACCTAGGGAAACAAAGTAGAAAATAAAAAATTAATAAATAAATAAATCCAAATGAACTACATGAAATCATCCTCTGAGAACTCGTCTTCCGGAACATCCATGAGATGTTTTTTAATTTTTTTGAGTGGAAATGTAATACAAAGATAAAAAAAAAAAACAATTGTAAATGTTTGAGAAGCTTAAATAAGAATATTTAAAGGTTAAAAAGGAAGAAAAAACATTTTTTTTAAAAAAATCCGACCGTTCAATTGGAATGTAAATCGGAAAAGATGAACACTCCCTTGGGATATCGTAGTGCGGCCCCCACCACATCCAAACCGTGGTGGAGGGGCGGTGTTTGCGATGATATGGCAGTGGTTGTGCGGCCTCTAACGTAGCCACTTCCCTTGGTCTTATGTAAATTACATGAGCAATTAAATCAAACAATTAGAAATTAATCAATGCGATATTTTAAAACAATGATTGGTCCAATATTTTTCCAGAATTTTCACAAAAAAATAATGAAAACAAAACGTTTTCCAAAATTACAAAAAAAAAACATAACTTTTTTTAAAAAACTGATAATTATTGTTTTCCGTATTTACTAATTCTAAATTTTTATCTAAAATATAAAAACGGAAAATTGTTTTTTGTAAATTAAAGTGTTTCTAGCTGTATGAATTTTTCAAACTTGTTTGTTATACTCATGCTAGGTGTGAACTTATATATTTCACGAGTTTATTTAAGAAAATTTAAATATAAAATTCAAGATATTTTGAAAGTGAATTTATAAGAAAAATAAGAAAAATATTGAATTATAAAAATTAATATGCTTTTTTCTCTTTGAAATTTAAACAAATAATTTAGATAAATAAATAAATAAATAATTTAATGAAACTTTACTTTAATGATTTTGAAATTAAAAAGAAAATACATTAATAAAATTGGTATGGATTTATTAATAGATTTAAATAATACGTAGAATTTAATAAAATAAAAAAACTATAAAAATAATATGTGAAATACAAATTAATTTAAAATAAACATAAAGTTACATAAAAAATAAATAAAAATATAGCATATAAAAAAGAAACTTTATTTAATCATTAAGAGGAAAATGAAGTATACGATGTATATGAGATATCCAAATTCTTTATCATAATCAACATCATTCTACTTCACCCATATTTTCTTAGACGATACGTAAAAAGTTGTCGTCTAGCCCCACTGTCATTGTTTTTGTCGGCCGAAAATCGGCATTTACTTAGAAATTTTCTTGAGTGCATTCATATATACATTTATTATTAGTATTTAAGGTATGAACTAATTTTATTATTCTCATCTTTAACCAGGTTGGAACAAATATTGATGTTTACCGCCAATAGAGTATTTTAAAATTATCATATTATATTTTACATTATTTTATGTCTTTGAAACTATACATTATTTTACAAATTAAGTCATTTCCTAGAATTTTCCTGAAAAAATGGTAGTTGAACTTATTTTGTCCTACGCGATATCTCTTTTCTTCAAAGTACACTTTTAATCCTACAATATTTACAACTAGATCACAAAGACAGTCTATTGGTAGGATTTCTACCTTTTTGAGTAATTATTTGGAAAAATCTTATGATGGAAGAGAACAAGAAATTTCTTAATGGATAAGACCCAATTTACTAAATCAACCGAACAATTACGAATGAGATTTGTACATGTTCGTTAATTTAAGTTAGACGAACAAAATAAACGAACACAAACAGATAAACGAACGAGTTTTCTTTTTCATGTCCGTTCGTTTAACAAATTACATTGTTCATGTTCGTTCGTTTATGTTCGTGAAAATGATAAATGAATATAAACAAACGAGAATGAACAAAGATAAACAAACATAATTGAACTTATATAAACATAAATGAACATATAATATAGTAATCTAATCAAACACAATTAAACATATATGAAGATAAAATGAACTTATATAAACGAACAACATAAACGAAAGTTTACGAACACAATCAAACGAACGAGACCTTTGTTCATGTTCGTTCGTTTCACTAAACGAACATGAACTTGTGTTTATATTCATTCATTTATTAAATAAACGAACACAAACGAATTTCCGCTGAATGATTCACGAACAATTCATTGAATGTATAGGTTGTTTACAGTCCTACATCGAATGATATATAAAATTCGTAAAAAAACATTGATTTTTTTTTAGCTTTTTTTGTTTTGTTATATATATATATATATATATATATATATATATATATATATATATATATATATATATATATATATATATTATATATATGGAAAAAGTGAATATACCCTTAAGGATATATAAGCTTAGGTACCCAAACCTATCATTAAATGTCATTTTTTTTATATATTCATTATAATGTTCTTAAACATCAATCATAACTTGATTTACTTTCAAGATTTTCAAAATTTCACTATTATCTTCCTCTTACATCATATTGTTTTGCCGAACACCTATTAGGTTATATATATTATAGTTTAAAATGAAAATTATATGAGAGGAAGATAAATGTAAAATTATAAAATTTTTGGAAGTAAATCAAGTTAGAAGTTTAATTATAAGAACATTGGATAATCACAATCTATATATATGATACAAAATGACATAGTATGGTGAGTTTGGGTACTTAAGCTTATATACCCTTATGGGTATATTCACTTTACCATATATATATATATATATATATATATATATATATATATATATATATATATATATATATATATATGTTTTGTTAGATGTTTTGATCGTGTTACATTTAGATTGATATGTTAGAAAACATGACTCAAACATGACAAATATAATTAAATGTATCATGCGGTTCAACACTAACACATATCTACCAAACACAAATAAACCATTATAGTCCGTTCAATTATACGGGTCGGCGGGTCATAAGCGTGTTCACGAGTTATTCGAGTTCATGGATCATAATCGTGTTTACGGGTCATAATTGGGTCTACGGGTCATAATCAGGCTTTTTGGTGATCATCATGGTTGTAAAAATCGTTCGACGTTAGCTAGTCGGTGGATTGGGGTTAATGGATTAATCGGCTAAGTGGAGATTAATCGGGTTCCATTATTTGCTAATTTATTAAATTTTTAAAAATTAAATATGACTATTATTATACAAAAGTTCATAAATATCACTAATATCATAAAAAAATAGGTTAACATGATTAATAAAACAATAAGCATATCTTAAATAGTTTGTATTGAGATATAACTTCTTTAAAATGTCAAAATTTCACTGGGTTCTACTGCTTCACTCATTGTGTATGCAGAGATTAATCGCTAGACGCCCTCTAATCAGTTGAGTAGTGCTTATGGATTAATCGTAGATTAATCGGGATTTTTACAACACTGGTCATCATCATTTAAGATCATGTATAAACCACTTTCATTCATTTTTCACATATTTCATACTATTTATAAAGTTATATGCATTTGTTTTTTAGTATTCATAAGAAAAGTAATTTGTAGGAGATCTCATTATCTTATTTTAACATTACTTGACATGGAGCCATGGAATGTGGAAAGGGTTAGGAGTTAAGGCATTGCAGATTCAAAACGTGGGAAAGAAGGAGACTAAGAGTTAAAAACATGTTGATCGGATGTTAAATGAGATTTAGTTTTAGGGCTACATAGATTTGGCGCATCACATATTCAAAAATGTCAAAAATATTTTTTAACCTAATATAATTTAACTGGTTGGCGGATCGACCCACGAACATACCTACCAACTTGAAGACAACCTATATAGGTTAACTCGAATTAATTGACCTAAACATGTTTAAGGTTAACACAAACATGTTTATTTGTGTGTAAGGTTCATGTCGTGTCAAGAATTGCCACTCAATGTATGTTTGGTGCAACAAACTAAGCCATTAAGAAATAGTGATAAACAAATATAACTTCTAGGGCCATTAGGCCATTGCCTAGATCAACGAGGGACACCAAGAAATAGTGATAAACAAATATAATTTCATCATATTTGAGTCCTCTATAAATGAAACAACGTTGGGAGAAATATAGACACATTGGCAAAAAGAGGAAAATACCAATGCAACTTGAGGGTTCTTGACGAAAGCAATGTAACTTGTGTTAGGGCAAGGGACTAACCTTGCTAATATAGTTTGAAATATGGACCAATGTTGCAACAAAGTTCATAGTTGGAGGAACAATGCAATAAACTTTAGGGAGCAAATATATAACTTTGTCTAGAAAAAACGAAGATATAGTACCGATAAACTACTAAATTTTTTATTTAAAAAAATATATAATTTATTTATATATAATTTATCTCAGAATTATTCATATGGACCATCCTCCCGACATGGGAACCTTATTCTTAAAGTGATTGCCCACGATATTACCAGGAAGCTCTCCTTCAATAAATTGGTTGTGACGTCCACGAAAATGTCGCTTTCTATCAGTTTCATGATCACATTGTATGAATTTCTTCTTAGTTTCCTTTCTTTAACTTTCCTATACAAAAGCTAACGGATCCTTATGTTTACTTTCATCATCCATCGACTTCTACTAACAACTTAGAATAAGAAACTAACACAATGATCTTTATGTTCATATCTCTCATGTTTATGGAATGGTTTATCTACTTACATGACTTGTATTCGCTTATTGCCCACCCTCTTTTCCAGTTTATCTTTGCTACACCAGCCACCACTTGCATGGCGGCTCAACCACGCGAAGAAGCCCGTGCTACTGAGCCATGCCACGTGGAGAATGGCCCAGGTAAGAAGAAGGAGTTGGGAGTGAACCCTAAGGTTATGATGGAAAGATTAGGAACGTTTTGGGATCCTGATGATCAAAGGGAGAGTCTTGAGTTAGAAGAGATGGTGAATCTGTTCGTTGGTGATGAGCGTGAGCCAAGCTTTGATGAAGTAAAAGAGGCGTTTGGCGTGTATGATAAGAACAACGATGGGTATATAGATGCAAAAGAGCTTCAGAATGTGCTTTCTAATATGGGGTTTTTACACATATCTGAAAGCGACTGTGAACGGATGATCACTGAATATGATGTTGATAAAGATGGTAAGATTAGCTTTCGGGAATTTTTGAAAGTCGTGGAAGATGGCTTTTGTTAGTCTTGAAATAGCGTATCACTCCGTCACTTGGTATCATTTCTATACCTTTTTTTTTGAAATAAGTATTTGGTTGTAGTGTGATTCGTATGTTATGTACATATATCGGCTTTCTATTATTTTTGCGCAATTTGTGTTCAATAGAATTAGATCATCACTAAAAACATTGACTTTCTAATGGCGTTTTTATTACAATTGATCGCTCTAGAACATACATGCTGGTTAATATCTAAAAGATTGTTTATGTGACTCATTGTATTAAGAGAACCTTACGATGCTAAATATAACCATTGGTATTTCACAGCACTAACTAATAAACATTTTGCAAAAAGTGTAGCTTATATTAGTTTTTTTTAAAGAACCAATATCAAATGGATTTCCCATATAATTCTAGATCAATTAGTTTCGTTTGCAGTATTGAGATTTTAAGATTTATTGAATATTAATTATATACAGTTTAAAAAAATCATCATGTCGATGATTCCTTTAGAAATTAGAATGATGCTTGAAATGGTAAAGATGCCACTTCACATCCACGACCATGGCCGACTCAAAATAATTAACATAAGTAGGCGACATGGAAACAATGATGGACTTTGGTGAGGATATAGCATGCCTTTTCTTTTAAACTTCTTATTTGAATAAATTTATAAGTCAACACTAAATTTTATTTAAAATGTTACAATTAATTTTTTATTACTTACTAGCAGAAAGTACATAGTATCTAACTGTCTATATGACAAAAGCAAATAAATTTTGTTTAAATTAAATATTCTAATAAATATTAAATTGATAACTATATTTTTAAGTTACTTCATAACAAATCAAATATAGTTTTGAATTTCAATAAATAAAAGCATAGTTAGCAGTGAACATTCTAGATTTTGTCTAATATTAAAGATATAGCTGAACCAAGCAGACAAAAAAACAATTTGTTCATATTTGTTTAAACAAGCAAAAATACAAACAAAGATGAATTTTCTAGATCATAATTATTTATTTAACATAATATTTTGTTCATGTTTGTTCATTTATCATACATGAAATTCTCACTAGAATGAAGATAAACAAAAACAAAAATAAATGAACATAAATATTCAATTCAATAAACGGAAAATTTGATCGCCAAAATTTCTAATATGTTGATGTAGTGGTGTCACTTGTGATATTTATATTAAAAGTAATAAAAGCGAAAGGAGGGATACCTTGAAAGTGAAGAAAATCTCTCTCTCTCTCTCTCTCTCCATTGACCAATCATTTTATTTAACCTTTTACCAATATAAATACTCATCTCCACCTCTTAAAACACAACAAAAACAAACCCTTTAGCAACGACAAAAAACATCGCAATTAAAGCCACATGTCGTCGCTATACCTTTAGCGATGACATGTCGTCGCCAAAGCGACGTCGCTATTACCTCATAGCTAATACTCATTTGTCGTCGCAAATAACGTCGTCTCTAATACTTGTCGTCGTTAAATGGTTATTGTCGTCACTATTGTCATCGTCTCTATTATCTTTCCGGCCACCGGTCAGAGTTTTTCCGACTACTCATCCCGGAATCAGTTGTCATCGCAATTGGTCATTGTCATCCCTAAAGGTGTTGCTGCTAATGGTTTTTTTTTTTTTTTTTTTTTTTTTTTTTTTTTTTTTTTTTACAATTAATTTATGTTATTAGTCTGTATATATATTATAAAATGCAACTTTAATAAAAACACATACCACATTACATAAAACATCAAATATACCACATTACATAAACTATATAATAAATCCCAAATAAACATCTAATATATTATCTATAAACTATCTAATAAATTCAAAATAACACGATTCATAACATAAAACAAAAAATACTATGTGTTTGCATTTTCTTCATCGTTGTTAACTTGATTTTTAAATGAATGGATAATGTCTCTAATGACCGTCACAAATGTCGGATTTTGAAGAAAAACATTCACATCAACATCCTACAATTAAGTCACAAGCACATTAGGTCATTAACAATTTAACAAACTATAAAACCATCAAACCACCAAATAAATTAAGTCGGTAACAATTTTAAAAAACTATTAAACCATCAAATCAATTAAGTCTTTAACAATTTAACAAACTACCAAACTACCAAAAAGTACTATAAATGCATCAAGTTCTTAACAATATTGCAAAGCTACCAAATTCTTTAAGAATTTAACAAGTACCTGTGTTGTTTACGGTGCTTGTGACTGTGACTGTTATTGGGATTGAGCACTTGTAGCCGCTGTTGAAGAAGGTTTAGGCCGAAGGCCTCTCATATGCACCCTTCGAGTACCCAACACCTTCTCAAATATTGCGATCCAATCAATGGTGTCTGGATCACCACTGGAGTCGGCTATTTGATGAGTCTATAGAGCAACCTCAGTAACTAAGACATTATGTATTTCACAAAGATTGTCAATATACGTTAAAACTAACAAAAAAAAAACAATCTATTTCATTTTTTAAGTAATAATAACTTACATATTGGTCTTCAACCAAATGATCAACAAATTCCCCTTTTTTATTCACATACCCATGATGAAATGCTTCAAGTCTATTCAAATTATGTTTAACATTACAAAATATGTTATACTTGAATAAGCATTAAAAAATATGTTATAAATGAATAAACATTATTGTAACTTATGTTCTTAAAACAAGCACTACAAAAGTTGCAGTCACTCCACGATTCTTAACAACTTGCTTTTTCCGGCATTCTTTGTTTCCAGCGGATCGTTTTTTATGCTTTTCTGTTAAGAAGTGGTCAATAACAACATTCCAATGATGCAGATCCATATCCGCAGGGGTTTGAGCCCTTGCAGCCTCCACATCACCTTCAAAACCAGTCAAACGAGTTTTTTCAACATTTTTGCGGCCTCTATACCACGCACACATCCGATTGTTCAGTGACCCCAATAAACTGGAGCCATGGGATCATTTGTAATCGCTCCAAAATCAAACCATGTCTAGAAAAAAATAGAGAAATTAAAAATAAATCAAAATTAAACATATTTAATATATAACTTTATAACTAGTTTACTAAAAGATACTGGAACAAGAGCTCAAATTCATGCGAAGAATGTGGTGTTAAATACTCATCAAGAATTTTGCATGTTCAATGTCTTTATCTCTAAAACTGAACCAAAAAAAATTAAGATTGCAATGGAACACTCAGATTGGGTTGTTGCTATGTAATCTGAATTGTCTGAATTTGAACGAAATAAGGTTTGGAGATTAATTCCTAAGCCAAATGATGTTTCAATTGTAGGGTTAAAATGGATTTTCAAAAATAAAACCGACAAAGATGGAAACATTGTTCGAAACAAAGCCAGACTTGTTGTTAAGGGATATCCGCAACAAGAAGGAATAGATTACGAAGACACTTTTTCCCCTGTCGCAAGACTCGAGGCTGTTCGTATATTTTTGGCTTATGCAGTCCATAAAGACTTTGATGTTAATCAAATGGATGTGAAGTGTGCATTTTTAAATGGAGAGCTTGAAGAGACAGTTTATGTTGAACAACCCCCAAGTTTTATTAATGAAGAACATCCTAATCATGTTTATATCTTAGATAAGGCAGTTTATGATTTAAAACAAGCACCACAAGCTTGGTATGCAATGCTAACTTCATTTTTGAAACAATCTAAATTTAAACAAGTATCAGTTGATCCCACATTATTTTGAAAGAAAGTTGGGAATCATCTAATGCTTGTTCAAATTTATGTTGATGATATTATTTTTGGCTCAACTGACTCTGCCTTGTCTAGTGAATTCTTGATGAAAAGCAAATTTGAAATGAGCATGATGGGAAAAATCAATAATTTTCTTGGATTAAATATTCATCAAAATAGAGAAGGTATTTTTATCAATCAAGAAAAATATATGAAGAATTTGCTATAGAAGTTTGGATTGACGAATAACACAAAGTTACGAGTTCCAATGGCAACTGGCATCAAGCTGACACCTTTGTTAGATAAACCTACAGTTGACTTAACTCTTTACAAAAGCATGATAGGTTCGTTACTTTATCTTACTGCTAGTAGACCTGACATCATGTTTTCTGTATGTAATTGTGCAAGGTATCAGTCAAATCCACGAGAACCACATCTCACCGCTGTAAAGAATATATTTTGTTATCTTAAAGGAACAATTTCGTTAGGATTGTGGTATCCTTCGAAAACTGGGTTCTTTGTTCAAGCATATTCAGATTCTGATTTGGGAGGTTGCAGTCTTGATAGAAAAAGCACAAGTGGTGGTTGTCAATTGCTGCATGGCAGATTGGTGAGCTGGCAGTCGAAGAAGTGAACATGTATCTCAATTTCAACTGCTGAAGCAGAATATGTAGCTGCTGCTGCTTGTACTTCGCAAATCATTTAGATTCAAAGCCAATTACGGGATTATGCAATTAATATTAAAAATATTCCATTATATTGTGATTCTCAAAGTGCTATAGGAATTTGTCATAATCTTGTGCAACATTCGAAGACCAAACATATTGTTTTTTGTTATCATTTCATCAAGGATCATGTGGAAGATGGAAATATTGAAGTACATTTTGTGAAAACAACGCATCAGTTAGCTGATATTTTCACAAAACCATTGGATGAAAAATCATTCATGAGAATTTTGGAAGGACTTGGAATGATCGATGGAAATTCTGTTCTATGCGAAAAAGGAGACTGATGGTCAGAATGCGTTGTTCAGAGACACGTCATCAAAGAAAAAGGTTACTCTTCAAAGTCAACTCTTCGAATCCTTTGTATTCGTATAATTGTCATTTTCTTGAGTGTTTTTAAATTTCGTATGTTTGCAACAAATACAATTCTTTTTTCTTCGAAAAATCAAAAATACCAAAAGGATTTTTTTTTTGTTTTCAAAAAAAAAAAAAAAAAACAACAACAACAAATTTTTTTTTTCTTTCTTTCTTTTTAGTTGTTTGTTGCAAAATTTCATGCTCAATTTCTTGAAGCAATGCTTGTAGTTCTAGGGTCAAGTATTTTTCGTACACATTAAACTAGTTAAGATGTCCCTAGAAGCATGTTGCCGCATGTTGACTAAAGCCTTTTAATGACTCAATGTTCGAAAGCCTTAACGAAATTTTCATACGAATATTTCCTCCCAATCAGGTTTACATTCACATTAGTCTTCTGAGCTACCTGACTCTTCTCACATGAGTTAAGAGTTTACTGTTTGCTCCAAACTAACAGAGGTACATGTTCTTTCTTATACCAATCTTTTTCATCTCAAAATTCTTACACTATCACACACGAAGACATTTGTCCAAGAGGTTTCTGATCAAACCAATAGAAACCTAGATATATCACAAATCTGTGTTTATGATCAGACATCATGAGATCGTGATGAAAGTGAAACCCAATTCAATCAACCTTTAAGGAGTTGATGGGGAACTTTGTTCCAGATTTTAATGAAACATTTATTTCTGTACCTTCGTTTAAAACTCCAAATCATATTCATTTCTTATGAGTGGTCTTGATCAAACATTCGAAACCAACGATGTTTGTTACCTAACAGGATTCATAATACAATTTTTTTTTTCTTGAATATGATTTCAGTGTGAGTTTTATCAAACATTCCATGTTACTTAAAAGTTTTTCAAAGCAAACTTGTCACTGACTACACTGGTCAAACAAGTAATTTCTGTTACAATTACTCACCTTATGTTTAGATTGATATGTAACGGAATTCATTAAACCACCTCAAAAGCCTTTTAAAAGAAGCCATTCGATACTTCTTTACAAGTATTCGATTGTAATTCACAGGAACATACATAATCTGTTGATTATCTTTCTTGATAATTAATGAAGCAATCTTTGCCCGGGGTTTTAACTGCCTTCGTGTGAAATTGAATTTTTGACATCACTGAATATCCAAAAAATTTTAAATTGTTTCTCATCTTTATTTTTTCACACATGACACACATAAAATCCTTGAGGTTCTGAGTAACACCAACTCAGGCTGATGATTTCAAGAATGTGGCAAATGACTTTACTTTGAAACCCTAAAGTAAAAGAGCCTTCCCTCCATCTGAAGGGTTCCGACGATTACTATTCTATTGGGGCAAACAATCCAACCTGTTTGAGGGGACTATTTGAATTCTGTGCCGGTTTTGACGAGACGTGACAATTACTTTATCACGCATGGTTACTTTTTCATCATCGTGACGCGGTTTTCTTGGTGACATGTCACATATCATTAAATGCTTATCCCGCTTTGATTTCAAAATCCAGAGTTACATATAAAAGGGGATTCAAGGGTTCATTATCAGTTTACGCTTTCATATTCCCAAATTCTATCTGATAAAAATCCAGCTCTCAAACCTTAACAATGGCGACTATTAATCCAGATACAACTCTTTTACACACTACCGATGATGTTACCTCATTGCCAATAATGAAGATTCAGGGTACAAATTACCAAGTTGAAGCAAACGTCTCTCTATATCCTGAAGAATTGAAGATGCTCGTTGTTGCTCTAAAAAGCTCTGTATTATCTAAAGCCATGTTCAACTTATTCTCTATTCCTCTTTCATGGCTGTCTCAAGCTGGATCAACAACTACTTACTCGAAAGCTTTGGATGCAGTTCTGTTTAATCTAGTGACTGATAAGAAGGTTAGACTCTCAAAGAAGCTTTTCTGCCAAATTCTTGATATACCTAATTCTCCGCCATACATCACTTTTACATTCCCACAAATTGTTCACATGTTCAATGAAATGGGTCATCAACCCTAATTGTCCAAGATAAGTGATTTCAAGAAGTCAGTACTTCCAAGTGTTTGGAATTTTTTGTTCGGTATTTTTTTATGCTGTTTTACTGGAAGAACTGTGGGCTTAGACAAGGGGAGAATAGAAGTTTATGCTATGGTCGCAAGCTTATACTATGATCTTCAAGTTGATTACTATACTCAGTTATGGAAAGAGTTCTTGAAGAGTATTCAGAACAAGAATATTATTCATGGAATTTCATGTGCCCGATACTGGAGTTTGATTCTGCAATATTTCTATGAGAAGGAACGGATTTTGGTTCCTGAAGATGAAGAAAAGGCTGTGTTCCATGTCTATATTTGTCCGAAAGATGCAACTGATGATACTAAAGAGTTTCCAGTTGTTGCTCGCATTCCTGATGCCATGCTTAAAAGAGTTGATCCTACCAACACATTTCTAGTTACTTACTTGCAAACTATAGATACTTGTATTGAAACTGGAGTTCTTTTGGATAGAGAAGAAGAGACGAAGACTAAGCGTTCGAAGAAGACTGCTACTGAATCTTCTGAGAAACCAGCCAAATAATCTAAATCTACAAAGAGTCCTAAGAAGTTATCGATTACAGAAGCCGAGACGATTAAACCCGAAGTTGTTGTTGCTGATACCCAATCAACTCAAAAGGAAATCATTCCTTCGAAGACCGGTGTCTTTCGAAGAATCAAGATGAAATCAAAAAATAAGAGTCGATCACCTTTAAAAAATGTTGTCCGAAAACCATAAGTTTCGCATCAAGGAGTTCTTTTTCGTGAGATTCCTGCACCTGCTTCACCATCTTCTAAGAAGAGAAGGGTAACTAATATGGCCAAACACATATCAAAGAAGAAGAAGAAAAGTAAGGTGATCATTTCCTCTGAGTCTACTGCTGATGAAAATGAAACAATTCCAGAAACACCAGAAGCCGATCTTCAGAAAGTCTCTTCTCATCCTGCACCAACTGTTGTTATACCACATGAAGCTTCGGTTGCCTAGTCAGCATCTGAGGAGTCACGAACTTCTGACATCTTTGTAAACGTATCTCATACGGATGCAAATGTCACAATGGGTGAGGATGCTTCGCATACAACAGTCCAAGGTAAAATTTCGGATGTTACTCCAGATATTATTGTTTCTTTACCTCCACAACTCACACCTATCACTCCTACTACATCCACAAATGATTCTCATACATTTGCAAACATAATCAAACAATCAATTATATCTCTTTTTTCTTCACAATCCACTGATCCACCTACTACAACTTCACCAATCCAAGATTCTTCTTTTATGGAAACTGAACACGAGTCCGAAGGTTTTGGAGGGACATTTGAAAATATGGAGTTTGATGAAGAAGAGACTGACTTCCCAGATCACATGCTCATGACAATGAAACAATTCAAGATATTGAATTCAAAGCTCAATTCAATTCTTCAATCTTAGGCTGATCTTGGGGGAGGAAATTCAGGGACCAGTCTAGAAGTAGATGGTCTGTTAAAGATGCTTGAAGGGAGGATTTCTTCAAAGGTTTCTGGAATGATAAAGGATTCCGAGTCTCGTCTCCTGGAGAAAATTGATCTTTGTGATCATAGTAATGAGATGAGGGTCAATGCTCAGAAATCTACTTTTGAAGGTGATATGAAAGAATTAAAATTGGTGACAAAGGAGAGACATGTTTTATTTGTTCAAGATGTGAAGAAAGTCAGAGAAGATGTGAATTAGAAACTCCAAGAGCTTAGACAAGATATGGAGAAAGAGATTGCAAATGTTCGCACTGAATTTGCATCTCTCAATCAAAAGGTGGACATAATCTGTGATGCAGTTACCAAGTTGTATGAAAGTTTGAGTCGTCAAATTGCTCAACTTTCTATAACAAAGAATAAGAATTTTATGGAGGTTTTCACTATGTTAAAGGAGCTTAAAACCATATCTTCAACACCTACTTCATCCTCTCTACTATCCTCTGAAGATCTAATCCATAAATTTTCTAAATTTGAAGCCTTAGTTCTTCAACAGTTGGCTCCTCTTTCACGAATATCCAACCTTCTTCCCACAATAGATGCCCACTTGCAATTACAGGGGTGCAAGGGGGAGAAAGGAAAATCGAAGGTTCGAAGGCTGGAGGCGAAGATGCAAAAGTGGTGGGTAAGGTGTTTCCTTCGAAGACCCCAACAACAAAGCTAGTGATAGCAACTGCTGGTCCTATTTCTTCAACAATAGTTACAACTATGCCAATCACAAGAACAATTTCGAAAGGAATTGTGATTGGTAAATCTACTGACACTGGTGGAAGTGATTCGAAAGAAAAAGAAGTGATAGAAGAATCTGCTTCAAAGGCAAGGGGGAAAGTCAATACTTATTGAAAAATCTAAAGAAGAGAAGAAGGTAGAGGCTGAGGCAGAAGTGGAAAAGATGAGGATGATTCAAATCATAATGACTCAAAGGGCTAGTGATCCTCCTGGCATGAACAAGGGTGATCCATCAAAGCACTACAATTATGAAACAATTGAAGCAAAGGTTGCATTCAATCACATGTATTTGTTTTAAAAGAAGCCGAAATAGAGTTATATTGTCACGAATACAGATGCAAGCCAGTTGGACTTTCCAATTAACGAAATGATGTTCATCATGCCTCAGTTTAAAGCAGAAAGCAAGTTCAAGGAGAAGGATGAAGGTACTCAAATGAAGATTAGATTTCATGCGGTTCTTGCGAAGCCCGCTGAAGAACTATGGTCCTTGACAACGATTAAGAAGGTCATAAGCATAAAGAAGGATGTGGTTTTCGAAAACACAGTCCAAAAACATGAAGTATGTTGTGACCAGAGAAAATGGGAATGTGTGCGAATTTACAATTGCTGACTTTCCTTTGATGAACTTGTATGTTCTTATACAAGTTGCATTACTGCTAAAGGAAAGGTCTTTTTCATATCTTCAAAACACAGATCCTGATGAGTACAAGTTGGGAGTTACTCACATCATGATTTTTATTGAAAATTATTATGAATGCTTAGCATTAACGGATGTGGAGTAGCCTAGAGCTAAAGGATTGGAAATCACAGCTCCCATGGCTCCTTCGAAGACACAGGCAGACTTAAAGAAATATGTTGATGGTGAATCTGTTTGAAGCCTTTGGCTTAGTCTTCTCTGGGAAGGACAAGTCAGGAAAATCAAAAAGGTTTTTGTTCCAGGCTGGTGAGGTCGAAAGATATTCTACTTCGCAATATACGAACTTGATTGTTCGTATGAATCATTGCAAGAAGAATAACGAAGGAGACAAGAAGCAACTGACGATGATTATCTCTTGGTATACTGATATACGAAGAGTAATGTTGTACTCCATTCAACTGCTTACAAACTGAAGTCTTCAACTCTTTTTACAAAGGGGGAGAATGTAAGGGTAGTTTGGTTGTAATGGGTCGAAGCCTTTTGTATACTCTTCGTATGGTCTGTTATATATATTTTACTAGGGCATGTTTGATTCGAAGCTTAAGTTGTCACACCCCCAAACCAGAATGGCGGAATCATTCGAGGGTGGATGACTTCATGTAGTATCGTAACAATTGAATACATAGTAAAGAAAGCAATACAACCATCACATATATAATTTAAAAGTTTACATTGTTGAAAGGTACTTGTTTCAAAAGAAATGACAATATGATGTTTAAAATGAAATTAAACTAACGCCGCAACATCCCTTCTTCAAAAGCTGCAGTTTACCGGTATTACTGAATCCATGAGAAATACAAGTGGTTTTGAAAGAGTAGGTCAACATTTAAGATGGTGAGTTCATAAGTATTTAGTGACAATGTTTATATGAAAAAGAATGAAAATGGTTTGTTCATGTTAAATGTTCCAAGAAAATCCCATATTTTCTACTATAGTAGATGGTAGTTTGATTGTTCCAAAATTGTAATACAATAACGCTTTTCATGCCTAAAATAGTAGTCTTATGTATAACTCGTTAAGGCATTTGAAAAACCCCATAAATCAATGTGTTTTTAGAACTCCATGTGAGTCTTATAACCATGCTATTTGACCAGGATGCCTATATCAACGTTCTTCAGGCATTGGAAAGTTATGACGTTTATCACCCCAGGCCTGCCGGCCTAGCTGTAGCTAACAGCTTAGGTGTGGGATTGTCAATCCCGTATAGATCTATACACAAATATCACGCTCCCCCTACAAGGGATTATGGTATATAATATAGGACTTAAAATGCATACTCGAAAGTACGTGCAATGTCTAACAAAATTTAGTATAAAACAGATTTACGTATGAAAATGTCCATTTGTTCTTGTATATGAAAATATCTCTTTGATGTAGTGTTCCTGGTATGTAAATGTTCATGATTTCCTCTTAAACTATACCTATTATAGTTTTTCAAAGTGTGTTTCGTTCATATAGTAAACCGTAGTCTAATGCTCACTCATTATGAAAAGTATAACACGTAAAGTGACATAACTGATCACATTTACCTAATGTAATAAAGGAGCATTTGATTTATATATATATATATATATATATATATATATATATATATATATATATATATATATAAACACGTTTTATTTCCACAAGACAAGGTGTTATTGAAAAATATATTTCGTACGAGAATACTCATGTAGTAGTTTATGAATCACATATGATTACTTAGCTAAAATGTTTATATAGTGAATCGTTAAGTTACACACGATAATAAACGCATGATTTACTTGCATTTCACCCCCTTAATATTGTATAAATAGCATTTATCAAACATCTAAAAGCGTAGTTTATAGGGGTATGAACTCACTTGAAAGATCGAAGAAGGCGAGATGAAAACCGAGCATAACTTTGACTCGAGAAAGCGGATTTTCTCGGGATTCTCGGGAATAAACGACCTTCGGGGATTGAGTATGGAAATCGGGGCTACGGGATATCACGTGCACGAAAAACGAGGTAAAAATGCAAGAAAGATGAGAGGAAATGGGCATTTTCCCCGGAACCCTCACATCCCTTTTATAGGGGCTGGGAACCGCCTCGGTACGTTGGGCGTATGCGTGCGTCATGCGTGACTGCATCCTCGATTGCCTCGGAGCTTGGATGGGACGGGGCATAGCTTCGCATAGGGGGCGACGTGGAAGATCCGAGGCCTAGTCCTCGAGTACGCTGGGCGTATGTTGTTACGTCGGGCATAACTTGGATTAGCCCGGTGACTCCCCCTTCGGATAATACCAAAATTTGATTTAAATTTATATTTTTATTATTTAGTAAACTTGAAAAATTCATATCTTCATACGAACTCCGTTTTCGACGTTCTTTATATCCCCACGTATGTGAGATTACGTTCTACAATTTTCGTTTAGACTCTGTCAACAAATTTTGAAATTATTTTTATTATTTATTTTTAAAAGTTCAGGGTAAGAAAAATTCATTAGAAATCTATAACTTCTTTATCCGATGTCTGTTTTCGCCAGATTTTTTACCGTTGAAATACCATTTTCGAGACCTTCGATTCTCATTTAGGTCATTCCGGCCAAAAGTCGCTCGATCTCTGTTTCGAGTTTTTAGCCGTCTATCGCTATACCGAACTTGGAAAATCATAACTTCCTCATACGCAGTCAGATTTGGACATTCTTTTTATGTACGCTCACGGTTTAATGATATCTAACATAGTAGGTAACCAAAATACATACTTTTTGTACATTTTATTTTCAAGGTTAATTTCATTATTATCAAAAGTGGTTACAATACTTGGCTTTTTAAGTCATTACATAGAATCGAAATATCGAGTTGTCACATCATCCCCCCCGTTAGAGGAAATTTCGTCCCAAAATTTAACGTAAGAAAAACACTTGTGGATTAGGGAAAAAGATGTGGGTACTTGTGTTTCATCTGGTCTTCGCCTTGCTAGGTGTATTAAGGTCCTCGCTTTGCATTCCGACGGACCTTCATGATGGGTATGCGACTTTGTTTTGTTCTTTTAATTTGCCTATCCATGATTTCAATTGGTTCTTCTATAAAATGGAGACTCTCGTTGATTTCGATTGCGTCTAGAGGGACGAAGAGGGTCTCATCGGATAAACATTTCTTCAAGTTTGACACATGAAACGTAGGGTGTACGTTATTTAGTTCCTGTGGTAGACGAAGTTTGTAGGCTATCGGGCCGATCCTTGTAAGGATCTCGAATGGTCCGATATACCTTGGGTTTAGTTTCCCACATTTTCCAAAACGTATTAACCCCCTTCTAGGGTGAGACCTTTAATAGCACTCGGTCTCCTACCTGAAATTCCAAGGGTTTCCGTCTTTTGTTTTCATAACCCTTTTGTTTTTCCTTTGAAGCCTTTAGTCGTTCCCGAATTTGTACAATCTTCTCAGTTGTCTCTCTTATGATTTCGGGGCCAGTGAGAGTGCTGCTGGGTACTTGTCCCTTGGCTAGTTGTGTGTCACCTACTTCAATCCAGCACAGTGGTGATCTACACTTCCATCGTAGAGGGCTTCAAATGGAGCAACTTTAATGCTGGAGTGATAGCTATTGTTGTATGAAAATTCGATTAGTGGTAAATGGGTATCCCACGCCTTACTAAAATCGATTATGAAAGCTCTTAGCATATCTTCCAAGGTTTGTATGGTCCTCTCACTTTCACCGTCGGTTTGTGGATGGTAAGCAGTACTTATGTCGAGCCTCGTTCCTAGAGATTTTTGTAACGATTGCCAAAATCGCGAGGTGAACCTACTATCTC